CACGTCGTGTTTTTCAGCGATGATGGAGGAGCTGAAGCTGACACATTCCCAGAGGCGATACCTGATGGACTGTGTGAAACGTGAGTGAGGCGCCCGGGCTCTCCCGACCGCTGCTGTGCTGTTGGTGAAGAGCTTTTGCCGCTCACCTTGAGACGGGGGCGTTCGTCCGCAGCCTGCTTGGATGAGCAAGTGCTTTAAAACAGCAGCACGGCAGCTGCTGACACGCTGGGATGTGAGGGGTGAGGTGTCCCTAAGGGTCATCCAGGAAACAAGGCACAACATGGTGACTTGAACCACAGTCTGTCTCGTACCAACGACCAGGGTGAGGCATCTGTGGCACCTGGAGTCTTTGCTTGTGATGCTACAGTAGATCAACAGGCAGGTCTTCTGCTGGCACTATGCCAGGATCCTTGTGGTCCCTTCTGTGTCGCTTACTGTTATTTTTGGTTTCTTCCCCAGGAGGAAATGCCCTGCCCCTCCAGTGGCCCTCCACATCCAGCAAACAGCCAGTGCCTGCTTCCTCCCCACCAGCCTGTCAGCCAAGCAGGCTTCCAGCTAGACCACATCTCCGACCTGCCAAGGTGTGCCAGGCAGGAGATGCCTACACTCGAGAGAAGTTCAAGCCACAGCCCACACGTAAGTTGGCAAACATTGCTGATAAATACACAGTGACCCCTGGACCCTCTCTTCCCCTTCTGTCCATCCCCTGCCTGCAGTCTCAGTAGTGGCAGAGTGTATCTGAATTGCTCCCTGTCCTCATGCTTTTGGTCTTTAGAGACACTTTAGAAATGGATCTCTGACAGAACATCTACTTTAAGTGCTTGCTGACTTCTGCCCCTCAGCTTGGGGTGGGGACAGGCAACAGGGACCTGCACAGTCCTTGAGTAAGAAGGAAGTACTATGTGACTTTCTAGCACATAAATGTGAATCAAACCTCTGATGTTGGTCTGATTGGCTCTGTCCACCTGTGTGGTGCTTCAGCAATTCAGTCCCGGGATGGACTGATGTTAATGTAACACCTCCTCTGTCACTGTTAGCAGGGGAGTGGTGTGGCCAGGCTCCTCCCTGAGGAGGCAGGCTGATAATAAATTCCTTTCCCTTGGCATTCACAGGAGATTTGGAAAAGGAGAAGCAAAGACTTCAAAACATCTTAGCGACAGGGAAGGAGGAGGTGGAGGATGAGGTGGAACGGCTGCCGGTTCGGACAAAGGAAGAGGAAATACCTGAGCCTGACCGGTTTGAAGAATGTACGTCTTTACATCCCCTGGAGGGAGGCAGGCAGGAAGCCTCGGAAGCCAGCTCCCTCCGAGGGCTGGGGTGGCAGGCTGTGTTGCCAGTAACCTGGAGCCCATTGCAGAAGGAGGCACAAAGCCCAGTTTCCAAGAGAAAGGCCTTGCTGCTGTGCTGCTGAGATCCAGCCATCCTTGCAGAGCCTATACTGCTGGCAGATTAAAGCTCCCTGGACTGCCTGCACAAAATGAACTCTGCCAGCAGGGGAATACCCTAAGGATGTGCAGGGTGACCTGGGCAGCAAGCCCAGATACTGTGTGTCTTTCCCCAGCAAGCATAACTCAACATAGATTAGGTCACTTTCCAGCCTGACTATGGTTTGGGCTGTTTCACTCTAGGATTTGCTAGTTACACTAGCAAAGCTTAAATGTTGAGCAAAATTTTAAGCAGTGAAAAACTTTGGCCTGAAGAGTATGCTGGGATAGCAGAACCCTGCCTAATACCTCTCTGAGCTTGAATCTTCAATGTATGTGTACGCCCCAGCCAGCCCTTCGCTAGCCAGGACAGCACAAAGATGGGCAACACCAGAATAACGTGTACAGAAGGGGTGCTTTGGTCCCTGCTGCAGGGAGCCAGTGCAGCTGGCATCACACATGCTTGGTATCCTCCAAAACTTGTCACAAGCTGAGTGTTGTCCTTCGCACATCTTTGACAGGATTTGGATCAGCTGGCTGCAGGTCTGTGCTGCAAAACAGCAGCTAATGTTTCCTGCCTGGTCCTGGGAGCAGAGATGGTTGAGATAACTGGGTGATGTGTGTCAACTAATGAACCTCAACAGCAGGTTCTCTCTCCATCCACAGACTGGCTAAATTGCCCACAAGCAACAGAGAATTGTCTGTACAAAGAAAACCAGAAACCTACCATTCCTGGAAGTTGGGGAGGAGGAAGAAGTTGGGCAGAGGGGACATTTTCCACTGTGGAAGGGTCTACTGGGGTATTGTGAAGATGTGCAAAATGAGTGTTAAGAACATCACCCTGCCTCTGGTGGGACTGCTGTTCAAGTTGAGCTAGGAAATTGGGGGTTCAGAACTAGACAGAAACATGTTTTCTTGCCTTTTGGTTGTATCCTGTTTCCACAGTTCTTTCTCTTATCCATTAGTGGTGAATGAAATTCAGGACAGGAGGGAATTCCTGGCGCAGATGGAAGCTCTAGGACAGGACAAGGAGTATAAAGGGATTGTCCTTGCTGAAATCTCACAGGTACGCAAGGGTCTTGTCTGTACAGTAAGTGGAGGGAATGCCTTGTGTCAGAGACCATAAAGCAGAGACCTCTGGTATCTGAGCAGGGGAGGGGACAGAGAGCTGTTTCCCTTCATGGTACAGCTCAGGCGTGAATTTGGGGAATGGTGGGTAGAGGTTTTTAGCCTTTCTTTTAATCTCTGCGTGTAACTCAATCAGGGAAATTGAACTTTTGTTCTTGAGATTGGCAAAAGAAGAAAAAAAAAAGCTGATGGCTTTCTCCCTGCTCAGCCCTTTCTCTTTGTACTTTGCAGAAAATGCATGAGATGGAGATCATTGACAAGAAGAGAAGTGAGGAAATTAGAAAGATGATGACAAAAGACTTCCCTGGTGGGAACAAATCTGATCTCCATGATTAGGCCAAGGACAAAACACGAGTGCAGTTTGTTCCCACCTTTTCTTCCCAGAGTGCAGTTTGTTCCCACCTTTTCTTCCCAGACTCTTGGCATCGGAGTCTTAAGGACTGGTCTTTTCCCAAAGAGGGGGCAGCACCATCTGTTGCCCAGCGGGCAGGACCAATTTGTACATAAACGGCAACAGAAGTTGTTGTAAAATCCTACCCACACACCGGATCCCCTCTTGCTCAACAATATTAAAGACATGGAAACACGTGGCAATCAAAACATGACAAAGCAGAGCCTCCTTTGCCTATGCAATGCCTCAGTACAGCAATCCACCCGTAGAAATGTCACTCCTTCCCATCTACCCAGAGGTGGAGGTTTCTCATGACAGCATGATGCTAACACACACACTGCTACCCACACCTGCAGCCCACTCGCTCCTGTCCCTCCTGACTCAGGGAACAATTCAGGAACGGCTCTGCTGGCAGAAGGCAGGGAGGAGGATGCAGCTGTGTGGCCTTGCGCAAGCATGAGCCCCCCCCCCGACATTGCTGCAGGTCGGTGTGACTGTGCATCAGCAAAGCTCTGGCAGCAGCTGAGCTGGGCAGTCACTCAGGAACACAGCTGTGCCGAGCAGGGAGAGGGGATTTCAGACCAGTGCCTGCTGCTCTTGGCTGTGGGTTTGCTGTGGTTTTTTGGTTCCTGAAAGCACGGTATGCAGAATAGCCATCAGCTTCCCACAGAGCCTGGAAATGGCTGTTTGCTTACCTCAGACATACCCACACCTTTGTACTCTAGCAGGCTGAAGCATGAGACTGAAGCATGATGCCTTGCTTTTCCTGTGCAAATCCCAGCATAAAGTCCAGTTTCCAATTTCCTTAAGATCCCATCCTCTGCTTCTAAGCAATACTCTTGTCAGCCACTCACCAAAGCCAGGCAGCATGCCCTGTCCAACATGACTACACAAAGGAATCAGAAACCTAAACCAAGATAATTTTTTAAATCCAATGTTTCTTTTATTTCTGTTCAGGTGAATGGAAGTCATGGAGTTAGTACAGTATAATTTACAAATCAATCTTCTGACTGGGCGTGGGGCCAAGGGGTGTCAGGCTGCAGTGATCCCAATGGCCTTTGGCAACAGTGACATGACAGCAGGCTCTAAAGCAGGTCTGTTTCTCCTTGGAGAAGGGTTGTGCTTTGGGATCTCCCCTCCCCTACCACTGCTCCTCATCAGCCTGCTGGGGTAGGGAAAGGCGAGATGGCATCACCAGCGCAGGGCTGAGCTGGCCAGCTCCCA